GGAACCCCGTAGGCAGGCCGGTGACACCGGTTCGCACTTAAGGGGGTACCAACCCCCCTGCCAAATTCCAAGGGAAAATCAAAACATTTAAAACACAGAACAAGTAACATAAAACATATATGCGCTGCTGTAAGTGTGTGCAATGATAGCCCACCAAGAGGACAAAACTCTTGGCTCCTGTGCGTGTGCTAAGTTTGTAAATACAATGATGTTCGTTTGTATCGATGTTTAACAACAAGACACGGCAACTTCTGTTTTAAATAGATCATGCCTGCCACAATTACAGTAGAATGCGAAGTGTGTATCCTCGATTTTACATAGTGCATCCTCTGCCGTCCACATAATTTCAAATTCAGGCAGTTGGTTCGTGATCCGGGAACATTCATATTCTGTTTCAAGCCTCGACTTAATGTTTGAATAAAAATTTCCAGAGGCTCACTCGAGCCTTTGTTTTGCCTTTTATTACGACGGCTGACATGAATTGCAACCTTAGCCATGCACGCTAAGAAACAAAAAATACCTTGTGCTTTGCGAGACATAAAGTGTTTTGAGCGATGGGGTGGTAAAATAGTGAACCACCAAATCGGAATGCGAAAATCTGGTTGAAGCAGTCGCGACGCGATGTTATTAAAATAATGGAGTAAGGCGCTATTTGATGGACAATCATAAAAAATGTGTTGAAGTGTGTCAACTTCATCACAAAAGGGACATTTATCAGAATTGTTCAAACGAGCTTTGAACAGAAATCTCCCCGTTGGAAAGGCACCATGGACAATACGCCATTGCAGATCCCCATATTTGTTAATGACTGGTGTTTCATAGCAATCCTTGAAGTTGGGTTTAGCACTTTCAGGCAGACTAAGGATGTCCCGCCAAACAGTGTCAAGTTTTTGTAAGTGTTGTGTTATTGACTGGACACGTATTAGATATTTATAGATTGCGCCTTTTTCAAACTTATATAGTGGCAAATTTAGTTCATCAGAAAAGTGCAGTTCAAAGCTCTGATGTGAAAGAGGTTGATTACACTTCCCGTTCCCTTTGAAGTAGGTGTTGATAGTATCTTTCCATTTGGTAGGAATAGAATCGTGAATGACCTTGATACTGAGATGGAGAATACGTTCGGAATGGATTTTAATTTTATCCGACATATCAGCGGCCTCCAACCAAGTTTTATTCGTTTCTGATACCAAATCACATACTTTGGTTATTCCCGCGTCAACAAAATGTCTGAGCGCAAAAGGCTCATTTCTTATGGGATGTATGATGAGTGCGTTGTTAAACAGTGGCTCATTAAGAATATCAGTTACGTTATTATCATTGAACTTACGCACTTTATCTACATATTTCCAGCACTGGAGGAGCTCACAATAAAATAATGGCAATCTTTGTAAAGGTGCTTGGATAGTGGTGCATAGAAGTTGACTTGCATATGACATATTACTCGCTTGCATAAAAAAGTAGTCTGTGAACTTAAAACATGATTATTATATAGATATCTTTGAATATAGGAAAGTCGCATGGTACCTATGCGTGTTGGAAGATGTGTAACATTTTGTCCACCTCTTTCCAAGGGGAGGTACAGTGTTGCGGCAGATACCCAATGTCGCCCTTGCCAAAAGAAGTCGAGCAGCATTTTCTGTACCTTCAGAACTACGTCTGATGGCGGCACAAGGCTATTAAAGCGATATATTAACTGCGATGAAATCAGATTATTAATAATAAGAGCGCGCGTTCTGTAAGACATGCTGTGAACAAAGTGATTCCAGAAGTTGATCTTATTATTTACTTTTCCAACAAGTTCAGCCCAGTTTCGTATAAGTTAGATTATTCCCAAGATAAACACCCAACAGTTTCAACTCCTCGCTGTTCCATTTGATATTGAGAGGGGAGTAGGTGATGTTGCGCCAGCTACCTACCCATAACCCTTCTGATTTTTGGAGATTGATTTTAGAGTTTGACGCAAGCTCATAGACATGTAACCAGCGACTTAGTAAGTTGAAATCCTGCTTGCGAGTTATGAAAAATTCCACGTTGTCAGCGTAAGCAGTGAGTTTAGAACGTTGGTTTTTGCTGTGAGGTATAATCAACCCTTCAATGTTTTCATCATTCCTAATTTTATGAAGTAGTGGTTCAATGGCAATGACGTAGAGGGCAGTGGACATTGAACACCCTTGCCTAATGCCACGGGCCACTGTGATGGGTGTAGTAAGGGCGCAGTTAACTCGGACCAGGGACTGGGCATTGGTATACATGAGGCGAATGTAAGAAAGGAAACGGTCACCAAAACCAAAGGCACGAAGCGTATTAAAGAGGTATCCGTGATGTATCCTATCAAATGCCTTTTCCTGGTCAATGGCAACAATAGCCAGGGGTGAGTTAGTTAAGTTAGCATAGGTCAATACTGTCACGAAGTAGATTTATATTGTCGTGAATATGCCTGTTTTGGTATGCTGCATGTTTGGTCTGGATGAATAATGCTGCCTAAAACACCGCGCAAACGCAATGCAAGCGATTTAGTGAAAATTTTGTAATCGCTACATAACAGACTCACAGGTCGCCAGTGTTTTACGTTGGTAACGTCACCTTTTTTAGGGAGAAGAGTGACCACGGCCCTTGTGCAGGATAGGGGAGCACATTTTCGTTAGTGGCAGCAGTAAATACCTCGCACAGATCACCACCGATGATGTGCCAAAACGTTTGGTAAAATTCGTTTGGTATTCCGTCGATACCGGGAGTACGACCATGGGGAAGTAGTTTGACCATGGCACTCAGTTCGTCAAACGTGATTGGTTTGTCAAGGTCATCACGATCTGTTCATTTAGTTTCGGTAGCCCTTCATGGAGGCTATTTTGGGCTTCAATGTCAATGTTGTCAGGTGTATACAGGTTATTGTAAATTGTGTTTATGATTTTCCGTATTTCAGTTTGATTTTCAGTAAGAGTGTTATCCTGGTGCCTCAGCTGAAAGATCGCCTTTTTGGTCCCCTTCTTTTTCTCTAACTGGAAAAAGAAGGAATTGCAAACATCACTTTCATTTAAAAACTGATGTCGCGCACGCGTAGCACTGCCTTTGTGTTCGCGTTGAACAAGGCGTGCGAGAAGTTTTTTTCTTTTCAGTGTAACTGTTTAAAAGCGGTGCATCGTGTGCAGTACAACGTTCGATGGTTTTAATTTCCATTTCCAATGCTTGTTTTTCGGTTTTGTATTTATCTTGTTTGAGTGTGCAATACTGTTGTGTGAGTAACTTTATTTTAAGATAGCCACATACACTTCATCGCGCAGAATTTCTGTATTCATACACCACACTGAACTTTTGTTTTTACTGTCACCAATGGCGATGTTGATGTGGACAAGGGAATGGTCAGAAAAAGCTAATGCACCATTGCTTATGTCAATATTTCTTAATTTTCTCACGCATACATTTGCTGACATAAAACCTGTCAAG